TCGTTTTTGGGCAGATTCGTTTTCTCTGTTTTTTAGTTTCGACCTCTGTCCAGTGTTTTGCCTATAACTTTCCAACCGTTTATCCAAATTTCACGTTCTTTATACGGTTGGATTCAGCACAGAAAATGCAAGAACACAGTGTGGACCAAAGGTCCAAAACAATTACGGAAACAGATAAAATTTAGTAACAAAGACACATAATGTGTCAAACACGCAACTCACACACACATTGGGGGGGGTTTTTTGATTTGGTTCAAGTGACCTGTTTCTATTGCATGAAAGTAAATGGACTTTGAATTTAAATGTGAATGGCAGTGATGAATTATCAAAATGTGAAATTAAAATGTAACAAACCCTAGGGTTTCGGAATCCACCCTAAACAATTCTACCTATGTTCATGGATACTCAAGTGGTGAACTCTGAACTTGTTGATGAAGATGTTCGCAATCAAGACCATGGTTCGTGGCTCAAGACGCATTGATTCTCTCTAATATACGTAATGTGCATGGTTCGTGCTACAATACTTGTGCCCTCCTCATAACCGAACCTAGGTATGGTTCGTACTTCGATTCAATTACAAGGAGAACCCATTAAGTTCAAAGAGAATATGAACATCACAAGAATCCTAATAGCATGGTGTTTACATTAGGTATTCAAGAAACCAATTCACATGGATGGTTCTTACTCCATCCATCTATTGCTTAGGAAAACATGAAGATACACATAATCCCAACAACCTCAAGAAGCATGCTTTCAAAGGTAATCAATCAAGGAAAACACACATCAAGGATAGATTAATTTGGTGAATTGGAATTCATCAACAATATCTAGAAATTCATACACTCAAGCATCAAAACAATAAGGTAATCATGTTTAGGGCTTCAACCTAAGCCCTAGCTATGGAGTTTAGTTCCTCATAATCATTTCAAACACAAATTCGAAATATAACTAGAAAGAGTTTACAGATTTGGAAATGATGAAAGCTTGAAGTCTTCAATGGTGGAAGTCTTCCCTCTTCTTCCTGCAGCTGCACCTCCTTCTCCTTCCTTAGCTTTTAGCTCTCCAATCTGCTCCTCAATTGTGGAAAAAAAGTCTTCAATGGTGGAAGTCTTCCCTCTTCTTCCTCCGGCTGCACCTTGGCTTTTTCCAAGCTCCAAGCTCTCCCAAAAATGCTCTCCTCTGTGTAATTCTCTAATGGATTCCTTTTCCACGTTGAAAAGCCTCCCCAACTTCAGATTGCAATTCCTTTTCTTCCCTCTCTCCTCCTTTCCAGCTTTTACCTTTTAATATTAAACTACCACCTTTGATAAAGCCTTAGCCCATTGTCCCCTTGCCATGATGAAGTTTTGTCCTCAATAAGATGCCAATTGCTTCAGAAAATATCTCTTTTACTAAGGTGAATTCTTGTTACCAAGTGTTATGGTAACAAGAATAATCAAGATGACACAATGGAGGTAAAAGCTGGCCAATTCCGGATTTCCAGAGCTGTGGTAACATGCTGGATTGGTTGGATAGGCAATACTTGTTCAATGGAGCTCAAATTTGGATATGTTGTAGTTAACATCCATTGGAACAAGTCTCATGAAGATCATGACCTCATCCGAGCACCAGAGCATGTTGATCCCAGGCCAAGAAGTTGACCTACGAAAATGAACAAAAACAAAGTTTATAACCAATAATGCACTTTTAGCTCATTTTCATTCCAACCAAGGTAAAATCTAAGAAAACACAAAAAGGAAGTAAAAAGCTATAAAATGTCAAGAACTAACTCAAAATAGTGGGTGAATAACATGAAAAATCATGTGTAAAAATGAACCGAACACAGAGCCACCATATATCATGGTTATTATTAGTCTTGCCCTCAACCAACAACGTAAGCAAAAAATTGTTTTTCTAATCAAGGAAAAAAATAGCAAACCACCTTCAAAGGATGTTGATTAGTGTCATCAAATTGAAATAGCATGGGAATATAGGCACTACTAGGTTTGTTTATTGGGTTCAAACGAAGGAGGCTAATGGAAACATAAAAGCCAACAATAAATGTTGATGGGTCCTCGAGCATTTCTCAGATCAATCTTTTCTCTTTGTGTTCTATTGGGTCTTTGGTGTTCTTTTTGTTTTTGGGTTTAAATCATGGGTATTCTGCTTTTCTTGTTTACAAATTACAACATATACATAGATATATTATATGTATATTACTATAAATAAAAAATTATTTATTGGGCCGGGTTCGGGATGGGAATGACAATAACATCCCCACCCCGTATTCAAAAAATTACTCGTAAACTCTCTCTTAAAACATGAAGTTTCCCTATGAATTATGATTAAGGTCACTACTAATCATAGCAGACTACATAAACTTCCTTAATCCTCTCTCTTATTAGTGAGATTACAACAGAAGTAGAACTACTATCAAATAATTATAACAATTCTCGGGGACATCTTACTAGCAATATCAACCACGGGAACTTTTCTTACATAATAGGGATACATTTAATACATCTCTCACAATCAACTGCTTCTTGATCAATCGAGAAGAGCATATTGCGCATGCACATTTATCATGCGCAAGAATTTCTCGAACCCTAGTGTCACTAATAACATTCATACAACTTGATGTCCATCTTGAGGCGAAAATAATATGCACCCTGGAAAGTATCAGTCTGAAATGTAGCAATTCCTCTAGCCATGAAGAAGTCTCCGGTCCCTCCGACAACCGAAAGATCCCTAGTTTTTTCAGTCATCAAATCCGCGCCCATAATATTCAACGTGCCCTTGTGCTCACTTGAGTTGAACACCAAAGTGTACGCAAACCAAGCCGTGTAGGTGTCTTTCCTGTCGTAGAAATAGAAGCCCTGAGCTTTTGCGACGGGTGGAGAATGAAACTCGTCGTCGTTGGTAATGGGGTCATTAAACACAACAAGCATGCCAAAATTAGACTCGCCAAGCTTGCTCGCATTTGCCACTGTTGCAGACGTCGCATTAGCCTTGTCCTTCTCGGTGCCGTCGAACAGCTTGTCGTGGTAATACAGCATCATCCTCTTGCATGGCTTCTCTGCTTTGAATTTTGAGGCTCCGGTTGTTAAAACAGATGGGGAAACAATGAGGGCCAAAATTATGAAGCAACTTTTTTGCGTAAAAGTTGTCATGGTGGTTTGATCTGATTGTTGTGTTAATTTGATTGAACCACCACCAGATTGGTTCAATTTATATCTAAGTTTGGAGGCTGATTGATCTGTCTTTATAGAAGTAGGATTTTATTGAAGAATATGCCCAAACGGTTCTTGTACAAAAATTTGAGCACTTATAGTTTGTAATTTACTCTGTTTTTGTACAACAGAAAAACAGAGCAAGTGCCAAAACAGTGCAAATGCAGAAGCATCTTTTTGCAAGGGATCAGAGAGAGAGGTTGTTTTTAAGGTTTCTGGGCCGTCCAAGAATCAGAGTGGGCTAAAAGGCAAACCATAACTTAACACCACTTAATGTGCATACTTAATTTGATAATATAAGATTAACTTGTAGTTAATTTGATTCCTGTGTTAATTAGTTGAGATGCTGCGGGTATTCCATTACGTATAGGCTTTGTCTGTTTTGCAAACAACAACGATAGGATTGACAACACAAAAGACAACAATGACTCTAGTAACTGTTTGGTTTTTACACTTAAATAAGTGTAATTGTCGACCGGACCGAATCATAGCCTTTGTAGCTTAAGTGATATCGGTGAGGTGAGATCAAATCATGGTCTTAAATATCGGAGGTATCGGAAGTATCGGAAGTCAAAAAACACGGAAATATCGGGATATTATCGGTATCGGAAAAAATTGAATAAAAACCACGGAAATTGTAAGAAAAACTTGGAAATTTTTATTGAAACTTTGTAGGATGTTTATTTAGTCAATTATCTATTAGTTTATCACAAAAAAAATTGGAAGGAAATGCATTGCATGATGGATTTAATTGATTTAAGTTGATTATATAGCGAGCTGGCAAACACCGTAAGTGTAGAAATATGTAGTAATTAATGAAAGAAGATTAAACACACCATAATCATTTATATATAATGAATTACTACAATATTTTACACTTTATACATTGCATGGTAAGATACATGAGTGACTTAGTACCACATAGAGTTCCTATGAGGTTCAAAATTTTCACTATCTTCATCATCTCTATGTGTAGAGTAAGTATATTTTGAAGAGTAGTCATCAAATGATAAATCCCCAAAATAGTTTTCCATGTAATTGTTAACATGCCACCCATATGGATCCGAGATTGGTTGAC